ATCAACGAGCGCCTCATGACGCTCTGAGTCCCACTAAATCACTCACATTATGCCATTTTCATCAGCACATACGCCCCAACATTGGATGAAGAGGATGACATCAAGGAGGCCTTTTACGACGACATCGACAGAGTGCTAACCTCTATCCCCAGAGAAGACAAGGTTGTGCTCCTTGGCGACTTCAGTGACAGAGTTGGCAGAGAGGCTAACTTTTGGCAGGGAATCATAGAGAGAAATGGACTCGGCAAGTGTAGTCCCATTGGCCTACTCCTCCTCAGCAAGGAGGAGTAGGCCATAGCTAACATCACACTTGCATGGAAAAGTGTGCCAGAAACTGCACTAAATGGAGTGTGGCGTAATCTGTGGCCTCAGGTAATCCATGATTTCAAGGGATTTGATGAAGGCAAGGACACGAAAGACATTATGAAACTCGTCAAGGAGGTGAGAGGATATTCAGGATTTCAAGAAATCCATGAAGAGGATGTGAATGAAGTGCTTGTCAGCATGGAGGATCCTCTCACTTCTGATGAAGTCTTGGAGATGGTGGAGATGGTGAAGAAACAAGAGGAAGAAGAGGAAGCAACAGATAAGCCCCAAACAGCGGGGAAGGAACTGACAATTCCTAAGCTGAAGGAGTTCATGTAGCACGTCACTTCTGCCACCACTGCAACATGACCCTGATATGGAACACAGTATGCAAGTGGTGGAGGCGTTGAATCGGGCTGCGTCTACGTACTCTAAGCTGCTAGATCAACTGATTATGGCCCAGCAACAGAAGAAAATCACCTCATTCTTCCGTCCATTAGCCTCATCAGGTGAGTTTGTTATGAAACTGTGCGCTATGGAACTGAGTGTTTATTGCTTGGAAAAATAGACATTAAATTTTGGGTATACGATATCTAATAATTATGTGGTAGAAATTCATTAACTTAATGAATGTTTTCCATTCCTTCAGCTCCTGGGGTAGATGGACCATCTACGTCTGGGCAGACATGGCCGTCATCCAGTGCTTCCCCGTGTCAGATGTGTCCACAGCCACACCACTAGACAGTGATGTGGATGATGAGCTGGTCGAGTTGGGCTCTGCATCTTCAAAGGATGAATTGCCGAACTAAAGTTGAGTGAAAATCTATTTTTGAAAACATAAAGTAATTAAAACCTAAGTTGAGAGGAAAGTGAAAGTGCTTGGTGTGTCAGATGAGAGGCGGTGGTGTGCGGGGACAGCACGTCCACCCTCTCACATCAGCTGATCGCTAGTAAACAGACCGTTTCGTATCCAAAATTTTAGCTGTGTTGATTTATGAGTGTTTGTTTATTCTAGGAGATGGGCTGAGGTGCATCAGGGTAGACTCTCAGTCTGGGCAGGAGGAGGGTCAGTGATGCGAGACAGCAGACAGTACAGTGCAGTACCAAGCAGTAACAGTACTGTCCAGCTCTCAACTTGACTGCAATGAGTGCTTGCTACATATATATCATAATACTGTTATTTTTTCAAATTTTTTAGTTATAAAAGTCTTTTAGGTATTTTGTGTTTCTCTCAAGTACCAAACTAAATTATTCCATTGAAACAACACTTCTATTTAGTGCAAATTCGGTTTAAAGCGACCTCTCTTGGGACATATCTCGTGTTATATCAACGTTCTACTGTAGTAGTAGTAGTAGTAGCAGTAGTCATAGGTGATATCCGAACAGAAGCAGCAGCCCAGAAGTTATGTTACAGCCTGGATGAGATGTTGACTGTCCTTCTCTCTCCTTCAGTCGGCTTTGCTCTGCCTCAGGGGAACTAGAGCATCGGCCCCAAAGCCGACAACAGTTGCAGATACTGTATTGACTATGAGGCAACAGTCACTGAATGCCGCATAGATCTGCGGCTCAACTAGCTCAACACACCTAGGATAGCTACTTATGTATTAGGATATTTAATATTAAGGTAATAAAATGGTGGCGAAGGTATGGCTATTGGGGGAGGCTGGAGGCCATTTGAAAAAAAAAAAAAGTGTGTGTGTGTGTGTGAATCTTGGATCAAAGCTGATAGCTTCTGCCAGAAGAAAGCGGCAGCTCAGCACAAACTTCGTAATCTAAAAAACGAATGGTGGAAAAATATAGTGCGTGAAATGTAAAATTTTAAGGATCAACACAAGATGCGAGAATTTTTCAATTCCACCAAAACAATGTTTGGCCCAACTGCTCATAGTGTGGCCCCCTTCGCTCATCCAATGGTAACTCCCTAATTAAAGACGAAAAAGGCATCTGTCAGTGCTGGAAAGAGCATTACCATTCGTTGCTCAACCGAAAAACCAATACTACCCTTTCTAATGTTACCCACTTTCAGTACCTTAGCTCCCACCTGTCCCTAACCGCAGACATCGATGAAGAGATTCAACATTGGATCAGATGTGCATCTCAAGCCTTTGGCAGACTCCATACCCGTGTCTTCAGCTGTAGGGAGCTGAAATTATCTACAAAGTTGCACATATATCAAACAGTGGTCCTCCCTACCCTGCTGTATAGCAGTGAGACATGGGTCACATACAGGGGGCACACCAAGGCACTTGAAAACTTTCACCAACGTAGTCTACATTTGATCCTTCAAGTTCACTGGGAAGACAAAGAGAACAAATGCCAATAATCTCGCTGAGACCATGTGTAGGAGCATCAAGGCTACCATTATCCATGAACAACTACGCTGGACTGACTTTGTTACCTGCATGGACGACAGTAGTCTGCCAAAGCAGCTGCAGGGGATCCCTGACTAACAAATGTCCAGCTTACGAACGCCGGCCGATTCGAACAGGGTTAAACTTTAAATTTACAGTTTTTTAATTACCTGATGACTTATTTTTTACATTTAATTTACAGTGGTCCCTCGGTTAACGAGCACAATCCGTTCCAGCAGGTTGCTCATTAACCGAAAAACTAGTTAACCGAAACCAATGTTTCAATGGGTTTTTGGGTAATTGGTTCCAGCTCACCGAAAATTGCCTAAATTCAACAAAAAAGGAAGAAAAGTACACTTACTTTGAGGTGTGTATGTAGAAGGCTCCTGGATGATGATGGGAATTAGAATGGGGGTGGAGAAGGGAGAAGAGAAGGCATTGGGGTGAAAGAGAAGTCACCCCATGGCGCCATTTCACCCATAAAATTTTAGTTCTCTTGGTGTAATTCAAGATTATTTTCTTTAAATCAACACCTCACTGCATTATATATTGTCAATATGTAAAATAAAAAATTTCAAAATGACCAATAATTTGCTTGGAAACACAGAAAAAAGCATTTAGTTGAAGAGAGTCTCAAGCAAGATGTTACCTCCACTGAAAGGACAGGGAGACTGGCGCCTGTTTGGTGTGTTGCCAGGCTGGATGGCACGCATGAAACTAGTTTCCTTATCTTCAATTAAGTACAATAATTGTTAAAATGACTAAAAAATTTAATATTAAACTTTTAAAATTATTGAATAGTATAAACTTCTTAATATTTACTGAAATAGTTAGGAATTTAAGCCCTAAAACCGATTACTATATTGGCGGACTAATACTACAGCTGGTGGACCGCCAAATGCAAGCGAAAACATGTTCAGGTCGGCTCGTAAGAAAATCGTTAATCGAAAGATTGCTCGTTAACCGAAGTTAAGAATCTTATGGAAGGTAACTCGTTAACCGAAATCATGTTAACCGAGGCGCTCGTTAACCGAGGGATCACTGTACTGTATTTTGGCATTCTACTTGTTCTTCTGTCTTAAGTTAAGTGATTTTAGGTGTATATAAGAACTTAAGCTATGATATAGTGGGATTTTAAACATGTTCTGTAAGTACGGTATGAATATAGCATGTGTTCCGACTTACATACAAATCCGATAAGAATGTCCTCAGGAATGGAAACCATTCATAACCCGGGGACCCCCTGTACTTTACAGTCACCCAAGGAATGGTAAATGTAACGCTGGCGGGCGACGGATGAGGTATAAGGATAGTCTTAACCCTTACGCCCCGGGCTAGGGTGCCGCCGGCCATGCCCCCAAGAAAAATAAACTTTTCCAAAAATAATTTTTAAACTTTATAAATGATGAAAACAATAAAAAGGCCCAATAAAAACTATACATCGTCCCTCTATATTCTTACGTGGCGCCTCAGTGACGAGACAAATAAGGAGAATTTTTTTTAAATCGAGAACTCGCTGTCACTACGCACTTAGGGGTCATTTTCCCGCTTGCCTTTGTGTCCGAGTTGGCCAATAATGCATTTATTTACTGATCATAATACTTATTTCCTATAAATAATTAATTTAGAATGTATTTTATTTGCATTACCCTTCATAAGAAGTTCTCAGCGACACACGCACACAACTTTCAGTAATATTACTTTGATACAACATGATAAAATAGACAAACAATGAAAATGAAACAAACAAAAGTAGGAAGCTTCCCTGTGGGCGAGTGTGTGGTGTGACAGGTAAAATAGTCACACGGGAACCTGATAACCTGCGCTGGGCATTTAAACAGTGGCGAGAATAGGCGCAAGTTCTGGAACGTCGCCCGGAGCCTACGGTTTAAGACAAACTGGAAAAAGTGCCAAATCGACCGCCTCACCTGGGAGATGATTACTCCACACTGTAACACTTGGAGGAGTACCACACGAGAAGGTGTCAATACTTCTGATTTAGCCCGACTGCATAGTGTGGCAGACAAGTGCCAACGCCAGAAAGATGCTACCGCCACCCCTTCCGCACTAGTTGTAGCCCTCCACATGTGCAAAATCTGTGGACAGCTCTCCCAGCCCCATATCGGCCCCTTGAGTCACCTCAAGAGCTCACCAACAAAGGTGACATCCCTAATAACTCATATCATTGTATTATAGCTGGATGATCATCATACTAGATTCCGGGTGACACTCAAGAAGTAGTAGTACTGTATTGTGTGTGTTTGGTAAGATAAACAGTGATAGCATCCTAAATCATAAGTATTTAATTCTTCCTCCCAACATGACAGTAAAAGTACCACTAACCTTTCCTTGTGCAATTTCCTCTTCAAGGGCCTTCATCTGTACCTGATACTGCTCCAACACCTCCACTGATGAATTAATTTGAACCTTTGTAGTCTCAATACTCTGTTCTAGTTCACATATTTCCAACTTTAAGGTTTCCTCCTCCTGAAAATACCAAATGTCAAGAATTAGAATTATTCTCTCTATATGAACAGTACTGCCTTACTTCCACTGGATATTCTCTCACGGTGCAGCTACTGGCAGAATCCCCCTCCAGCATTTAGGTAATTTCCACCATACATAAGATACACCCTCCAGCACCAATATAAACAGGTTTCCACACTTTATTCACTCTCAAATTTCAAGACTTTCTTTTTTTCTTTTCAAGGACACTGAAGCCTTTCTCAAGTAGATGCTCAAGCTTAGGAAGTACACATGAGATTTATTGGTGGTTTTAATAAACAAATAAATCAGATTCTACCTGGTTTCACCCCAAGCCTGAGCATCTTCTCTTAGTGAAAATGTTTATGAACTTGTCAAAATGAATGTGGTTTTTAACGTGTATTAGTACAGCTCAGTAGATTATTTTTCACCCTTGTACAGTATATATGTTTTTGTGTTGATTTTGTTTTAAAAATATTACTTTATAATCACTTGCATATTTTTCAAATCCTACTATTTATACTGTGTTGGGTACTGTCATGTCAACATGAGTGTGGTATCAAATATTCATTTAAATAAAATAATGCTATAATAACTAAACCTACAGTAAAATATAACTAGGCAAGTTCACAATACAGTGGTCCCTCGGTTAACGAGCACAATCCGTTCTAGAAGGTTGCTCGTTAACCGAAACCATTGTTTCAATGGGTTTTTGGGTAATTGGTTCCAGCTCACCGAAAATTGCCTAAATTCAACAAAAAAGGTAGAAAAATACACTTACTTTGAGGTGTGTATGTAGAAGGCTCCTGGATGATGATGATGATGATGATGATAATGGGAATTAGAATGGGGGTGGAGGAGAAGGAAGAAGAGAAGGCATTGGGGTGGAAGAGAAGTCACCCCATGGCACCATTTCACCCATAAAATTTTAGTTCTCTTGGTGTATTTCAAGATTATTTTCTTTAAATCAACACTGCACTGCATTATATATTGTCAATATGTAAAATATATTTCAAAATTACCAATAATTTGCTTGGAAACACAGAAAAAAAAGCGTTTAGTTGAAGAGTCTCAAGCAAGATGTTACCTCCACTGAAAACAGAGAGAGACTAACGCCTGTCTGGTGTGTTAACAGGCTGGATGGCACGCCAGAAACTAGTTTCTTTACCTTCAATTATGTTCAATAATTGTTAAAATGACTAAAAAAGTTAATATTAAACTTTTAAAATTATTGAATAGTATAAACTTCTTGATATTTACTAAAATAGTAAGGAATTTAAGCCCTAAAATCGATTACTGCATCGGCGGACTAATACTACAGCTGGTGGACCGCCAAATGCAAGCGAAAACTTGTTGAAGTCGGCTCGTAAAAAACTCGTTAATCGAGGGATTGCTCGTTAACTGAAGTTAAGAATCTTATGGAAGGTAAATCGTTTACCAAAATCTCATTAACCGAGGCGCTCGTTAACCGAGGGACCACTGTACAAACAGATTGTCATTTGTTATGTAATTGGGCATGAGTATTACAAGGTATTATAGCTAAATCATTTCAACCAAAGAGACCCTAGACACACACAGGTAAAGAAATCATTTAAATTTTGAAATTAAAATAAACAGTAAAAGTTAAAGTAAAGAAACTTAAGACATTTGCCTTGTTGATTGCTCAGTTTCCGTAACATAAGACACAAGGTTGTTATGTAGATTAAAGACAAACCAATGGTACACAGTTCTGCAAGTCTGTCCTCACACTGAGGTAACAATGGAGAAGCGATTCCATTCAAGTCTTTAAATCTTGACATTCATTCTGACTGTCTAGACTTATTATTTCCAGTGATCACAGTTGAGGTGTAGCTACATATATCTTACAAGGTTTAATTATGACTCAGAGATTTCAGAGAAGAATATATTTCAACTAGTTACTAACCATCATCATCATCAATGTTTTACAGCCATTTTACACACACTTACTGCACAATCTCTTGCAGTTTCTCTTGTCAGGTTCTTAACTCTTCCCGTGTCATTCTTGGCCTTTCATACAATTCTACAGTAGCTACATATTGGGAGAAGGAATGAAGAGTATCTTTGTTGGGAAGTTAATGGACTTTGGTCTAAACAATGGTGTGTGTTTTTTAGCTATCAATTTAATTCAAGCAGGGAGACTAGCCCAGAGTAGTGACAGACCTAGGAATAGGAACCCAATCTAAGAATTTGTATTTTCAAAATTAACTTGTCTGAGGCTCACAATAACTGTCATAGAAGCCATTCATTCACCTTTAAAACTGGTTCCAAGGATCAGTCTGGTGTTAGAATCTTTAAAGGCCTCTCCAGAAGAAAGGTTTAATCCTAAAATGCTGTTACCGAGCACATTCAGTACCTAACAGCCCTCATAACTGTCTGCTGTATAGTGTCCTCTACAATATTAGACTGTGTTGGCAAACACATTTAGCTATAACACTCACTGCTCCCTCATCATACCATCCACTGCTCAAGGAGAGACACTATACAAACTCCATAACAAGGGGTACAAATACAAACAGTACTGTCAACATTATGTTACTACACTTGAACCTCACTAGTTCAGCATCCAATAATTCAAGGTATTGCACCTGCTAAGGGGCCATTAAAAAATTACGTAATGTAGAGGGGGGAGGGGTATCAAGCCAGGTGTTACAGGGGGGGGGGGGTCAGAAGAAGTGTTATGTAACATTAAAAAATAAAATAAAGCCTAAATAATAATTATGTAATCTTTGAAAGTCTTTAATACAGTGTACTAAGAATTACAAAGAAAATATATGTACTGAGGTCTTTCTATACCTTGTCAAACGCTTGCATATTCATTTTTTTTCAAATAAAGGTGAAAGCGACATTTGATTGCTTTATAAATATAATTTCTGTGTTTTAACAGCTGCCAAGTGCCCTACACAGCCTTCACCTGATGCAGCAACTCACATGAAACTGGGAAAATGTTTCAACGATTAAAACAGGAATCAAGCCAGCGGCCCCTCACTACCACGACTGACTGGTACAATCCGCCCCCTCCACCATCACTGCCAACCTATTAAATTAGTTATCAAATATTTACTCGTTTAATTCTCTTGTTTCTTTCACTTCTCAATCCTAAATAATAATATCCTATTTCTCAGGCTTAGTTTTCAATGGTACAGTGTCTATAGCATGTGGGAGGGGAACACATCTTCAATAATGTAATTATTCTCACGTACAATGCAGTGTTGTTTGGCAATATAACCCTTGAGTTACAGAGGCAAGGAATGTAAGCACATTTTCACTTCTAGCTCCCTATGAGTGCTAAAAATATTTATTTTACAGGAACTTTATTTTTTGTAAGGGATTTTAGTCACTATATCATTCATTAACTTCTACCACACTCACTCCAAATACTGTACAGGATTCTGCCTCCCTCAGGAGATGCACACAACTTGCCTGTTTTTTGAGGTTCCATTTACTTCTTGTCTCTTCTGCCACCTTCTTGCACTTTTCTAATGCTACTTTGGCTGCCTTCAGCTCTTTTTCTTTTAATGCCTTGGAATTCTTAATTTTGTCTTCAATCTCCTTCACCTTTTCTTCTCCTTCAATATCTACCTGCTTACACCGCTCAACAGTTGCCATACACTCCTCTGTCAAGAATCAAAACACAGTTGTGAGGTCAAGCTAGTCAGGTACTGTACTATACTGTAGAGTATTATGACAACCACTACATCTTCTTTACCTGTACAGTATTACAGTAGACGATCATTTTACAGTGCTAGAGGGGCGGTTCACTTGCACGGTTAAGCCCTAACCCCCCGAGAAAAACTTTTATGAGCCTCTAAGACAACTTACAGTAAGTCCTCGCTTAACGTCGGGGTTATGTTCGTGAAAATGCGACGTTATACGAATCAACGTTAAGCGGACCAATTTTCCCCATAAGAAATAGATAAAATACAGGAGTTACGTTCCTGAGCCTCCCTTTGCCCCATGAAATACATTACATATAAAGCTACTTATGTGATGCCTGGCGAGGTGCTTGTATACATTACTATAAACTCACATTCATTGAGATTTAAAAGAGAAAACCTTTAAAACTCCTCCACATGACATATAAATTCCATTAGGTAATCTTTACTGACCAGCGGCCTGGCACCAGCTGTCATAATAGATCACCTCCCCCCGTCATACTAAATCACACTCCACCTGTCATACTACATCACCTCCCCCTGTCATACTACATCACCTCCCCCTGTCATAATACATCACCTCCCCCTGTCATACTACATCACACCCCCTGTCATAATACATCACCTCCCTGTCATACCACATCACCGTCATAATACATCACCCCTGTCAATACATCACCTCCCTGTCATACTACATCACCCCCGTCATAATACATCACCTCCCCTGTCATAATACACGCCTCCGCCTGTCATAATACATCACCTCCCCATCATACTACATCACCTCCCCTGTCATACTACACATCACCTCCCCTGTCATACTACATCACCTCCCACATACTCACATCAACTTCTCCCATAATAAATCACCTCCCACTGTCACACTACATCAACTTCCCCTCATAATACATCATCACCTCCCACTGTCACACTACATCACCTCCCCTGTCATAATACATCACCTCCCCTGTCATACTACATCACCTCCCCTGTCATACTACATCACCTCTTCCTGTCATAATACATCACCTCCCCCTGTCACATCACTCCAAAAATACATAACCTCCCCTGTCATACTCACATCACCTCCCCTGTCATACTACATCACCTCCCCTGTCATATACATCACCTCCCCTGTCATAATACATCACCCCCTGTCATACTACATCACCCCCTTGTCATAATACATCACCTCCCCGTCATACTACATCACATCCCCCGTCATAATAAATCACCTCCCCTGTCATAATACATCACCTCCTTACACACATCACCTCCCCTGTCATAATACATCACCTACCCCTGTCATACTACATCACCCCCGTCATACTACATCACCCCGTCATAATACATCACCTCCCTGTCATAATACATCACCTCTGTCATACCACATCACCTCTGTCATACTACATCACCTCCCCTGTCATACTACATCACCTCCCTGTCATACTACATCACCTCCCCTGTCATAATACATCACCTCTGTCATAATACATCACCTCCCTGTCATAATACATCACCCCCTGTCATACTACATCACACACCTGTCATAATAAACTCCCCCTGTCATAATACATCACCTCCTCCCTTCACTATACTACATCACCTCCCCTGTCATAATACATCACCTCCCCTGTCATAATACATCACCCCCCTGTCATACTACATCACCTCCCCTCTGTCATAATACATCACCTCCCCCTGTCATAATACATCACCTCCCCTGTCATAATACATCACCTCCCTGTCATAATACATCACCTCCCCTGTCATACTAATCACTGTCATACACATCACCTCCTCCTATCATAATACATCACCTCCCCGTCATAATACATCACCTCCCCTGTCATACTACATCACCTCCCCTGTCATACTACATCACCCCCCTGTCATACTACATCACCTCCCCTGTCATAATACATCACCTCCCCTGTCATAATACATCACCTCCCCTGTCATAATACATCACCTCTGTCATACCACATCACCACCTGTCATAATAAATCACCTCCCCTGTCATAATACATCACATCACCTCCCCTCATATACTACATCACCTCCCCTGTCATTCCTGTCTATCACCCCTGTCATAATACATCACCTCCCTGTCATGCACACACCTCCCCGTCATAATACATCACCTCCCCCTGTCATACTACATCACCTCCCCTGTCATAATACATCACCTCCCCCGTCATACCACATCACCTCCCCTTGTCATACTACATCACCCTTCCTGTCATAATACATAACCTCCCTGTCATACTACATCACCTCCCCTGTCATACTACATCACCCCCGTCATAATACATCACTCCCCTGTCATAATACATCACCTCCCCTGTCATACTACATCACCTCCCTGTCATACACACACTCTGTCATACTACATCACATCCCCTGTCATAATAAATCACCTCCCCGTCATAATACATCACCTCCCCGTCATAATACATCACCTCCCCTGTCATAATACATCACCTCCTGTCATACTACATCACCTCTGTCATACTACATCACCTCCCGTCATAATACATCACCTACCCCTGTCATAATACATCACCTCCCCCGTCATACTACATCACCTCCCCTGTCATACTACATCACCTCCCCTGTCATACCACATCACCTCCCCCTGTCATACTACATCACCTCCCCTGTCATAATACATCACCTCTGTCATATACATCACCGTCTCATACTACATCACTCCCTGTCTAATAATCACGTCATATCCCTCCCTATACATCCTTGTCATCTACATCACCTCCCCTGCCATACCACATCACCTCCCCTGTCATAATACATCACCTCCCCTGTCATAACACATCACTCCCCGTCATACTACATCACCTCCCCGTCATAATAATCATCACCTCCCCTGTCATAATACATCACCTCCCATCATAATACATCACCTCCCCGTCATAATACATCACCCCCTGTCATACTACATCACCTCCCCTGTCATACTACATCACCTCCCTCTCATCATAATACATCACCTCCCCTGTCATACTACATCACCCCCTGTCATACTACATCACCTCCCCTGTCATAATACATCACCTCCCCCGTCATAATACATCACCTCCCCCTGTCATACTACATCACCTCCTCCTGTCATAACACATCACCTCCCCTGTCATACTACATCACCCCCCGTCATAATACATCACCTCTCATACTACATCACATCCCCCTGTCATATTACATCACCTCCCCTGTCATATACATCACCTCCCCTGTCATAATAATCACCTCCCCTGTCATAATACATCACCTCCCCTGTCATACTACATCACCTCCTCTGTCATAATACATCACCTCCCCTGTCATACTACATCACCTCCCCTGTCTGTACATCACCTCCCCTGTCATGCTACATCACATCCCCCTGTCATATTACATCACCTCCCTGTCATAATACATCACCTCCCCTGTCATAATACATCACCTCCCTGTCTACCATCACCTCCTGTCTATCACCTCCCCTGTCATACTACATCACCTCCCCGTCATTTCCACCTCCCCTGTCTTCATCACCTCCCCTGTCTTTCATCACCTCCCCTGTCATACTACATCACCTCCCCCTGTCTAATACATCACCCCCTGTCTTTCCACATCACCTCCCCTGTCATAACACATCACCTCCCCCTGTCATACTACATCACCTCCCACTGTCATACTACATCACCCCCCTGTCATACTATCCATCCCCCTGTCATAATAAATCACCTCCCCTGTCATACCACATCACCTCCTCCTGTCATAATACATCACCTCCCCTGTCATACTACATCACCTCCCCTGTCATACATCACCTCCCCTATACTACCTCCCTCCCCCTGTCTACTACATCACCTCCCCTGTCATACTACATCCTCCCCTGTCATACTACATCACCTCCCCTGTCATACTACATCACCTCCCCTGTCATACTACATCACCTCCCGCCTATCATACTACATCACCTCCCCTGTCATACTACATCACCTCCCCTGTCATACTACATCACCTCCCTGTCATACTACACATCACCTCCCCTGTCATACTACATAACCTCCCCTGTCACTTCCTTCCCTGTCATACACACTACCTCCTGTCATACATCACCTCCCCTGTCATACTACATCACCTCCGCCCTATCATACTACATCACCTCCCCTGTCATACTACATCATCTTTCTGTCATAACCATCACCTCCCCCTGTCATACTACATTAACTCCCCTGACATACTACATCACCTCCCCTGTCATTCACACATACTCCCCTGTCTTAATCACCTCCCCCTGTCTGTTACATCACCTCCCCGTCATAATACATCACCTCCCCTGTCATACTACATCACCTCCCCCGTCATACTACATCACCTCCCCTGTCTACATCCCTCCCCCTGTCATACTCATCAATTTCCACTCTCTAATACATCACCTCCGTCCATACTACATCACCTCTTTCTGTCAAAATACATCACCTCCCCTGTCATACTACATTAACTCCCCTGACATACTACAACCTCCCCTGGTCATACTACATTAACTCCCCTGTCATAATAAATCAACTACCCCCCGACTTCCAGTAAAAGTGACTGTGGTTTTTAAGCTTAAAGCTCTCATAAAATGTAACAGACTAAAGTTAGCAGAATATAAATTGCTAGAATCCTTGCAAGACAGCGAATAATATAAAAATAGACATCATATATTTACCACAAGATATAAAACTTTTAGTCCCTTAAGTACATTTAAGTACTGTACTATACATGTATTTTCAACTTATTTTTCAGTCGATAGAGTAACTTTCTTCATTTATATTTACTCATTTACATGCACACACCATCCTAAATACATATTGTGAAAAAGGTAAGTGAAATATTTGTCCTAAGGGCGAGGGTGATGCGCAGTAGAAAATTGTCCATGATGAGTCAAACGAATTGGTACCGAGTCACTGGGACGT